AAGGAATACATCATAAAAGATTTTTTATCTCCAGAAAATAAAAACATCAGAGAATGGTATGTAGCAGAATTTGAACCTAGATTAGTGGAATTATTTCACATAAGATTTAATAAATGGAGAAAAAAGGGAAATAAAGGAACATGTTTTTTCGATTGGCTAAAAGACATTTTAACTCAAAAATGAATTCCTATTCCTAATTTTGAAATAAATACACTAGAAACTCAATATACAGTATTTAATACTACTGAAGGAAATACAATTAAAGCCATACATCCTCCTGAACAAAGCTTGAAAATACAAGGAGTTGCTACTATGGTATCAGCTACTAAAAAACTCCAGAACAAAATATAAGATCCTCATCCTCATCCTCAACCCAAATGGTTGTGTATGAAACAGTAGCTACACCATATAAACTCAATAAAACAAATATAGCTCGTATATAATTACTTCCACACATAATTGAACAAAATAATTATACAAATCTCTGCCTCCATACACTTGGACAACAAACTAATAGAATAGAAAACTTATTACATCCTCCCATTTATAAGGAGAAAAAACAATTATTTTTTAAACCTCCTCCTGACCTGAATAAAGAAAAATTTTATATAGGTGATGATAATAAGACACTTATGGATCAATTAATCTCCAAATTATCCAAATTAGAAATAAAAGATCCCAAACAAACAATTGTTCTACCAGACAATGATAAAGGAAAAGCAAAAATCCCTGAACATGATAATATGACTCTATAAGAAGAAATACTTTTCCAAACCAATGAAACCATAGAACCACCAATTGCCAACACAATAAAAAATATGCAAACAACGTTTTTCGAAATTCAAATCACTTCAGATACTATAAATCGAATCAATTAAAGTAAAAATTGGCAACCAATAAATGCCCGACCATATTATAAAAGACCAACCCCAGTTGATATCCAATTAGAAGAAGACCTGACAAGTCATACTTCTACATATACGGGTCGAACTATTATTGATTGGAATATTGATGGAATTTCTGATCACCGAATCTTAGATACAATGAAACACATGACTATGTATGCTTCGACATGTAAAATGGCTGGTAGTCATGACCAAGAAATAGCAAAAGCCATAGTCTTAGGATTCACCGGATGGTTAAGAGGATGGTGGGATTCCTATCTCAATGAACAAACAAAACAACAAATATTAACTAATACTCGACAATGGACAGCAAAAAATGAACACAACCAGGATATGGTATATTCTGAAAGTGATGCTGTCAATTCTTTAATCTATACCATTGCTCTTCATTTTATAGAAAATACTTCAATACTTGCAGTTCGAACTGCTGATCTCTTATCTAATTTACGTTGCCCTACCCTATCTCATTATAAATGGTATAAAGACGTCTTTTTCTCTCGATTACTCATACGTGAAGATAGTCATCTTGATCACTGGAAAGAAAAATTTGTAGCAGGATTACTATATCTATTTGCTGAAAAAGTAAAAGAACGTCTAAAAAATAAAAATAGTAGTATAATCAAGTGCTCTCAATATACGTTAGGAGAATTATCTTCAAAAATCTGTGCTGAAGGCTTAGCCCTATGTACAGATCTGAAACTTAAAAAGCAACTTGATAAACAAAACCTAAGTGGTAAAAAAGAGTTAGGAGATTTCTGCCAACAATTCGGCTATCATATGGATCAAACTCATATAGATAAAACCAAACCACATAAAATACATAAAGTATATAAAAAGAAAAAACATCGGAGTAAACTCGAAAAAACACA